TTCATATATATATATATATATGTATATATATATATATATATATGTATATATATATATAGATAGATAGATAGATATTGATAAGATGTGCTTCTTAGAGTAAAATACCATGTGCTTAAAATTTATGGCTAAGGTAAAGTTCCTTTACAACAGTATCAAATAATAGGATCTTTTTTAGATTTTAAAATAAATTTTGTAAATTGTGATCAGATCGATATAGCTAAGTGTTGCGATAAAAATGTCACTTATAGTCTTGCTAAGTGTGGCAAAAAATAAGAATTTTAAGATGAATATATAATGATCATGTTAGAGAGAGAATGATACTAATTCGTATATGGGGTAATGTAGTAAAAAATTGACTTGTGATTTGGGTTTATACCATGATAGCGTAACATGCACTAATACAACCATGTTGACAAAGTACTTGTGGAAGAATAAGGAAAAAAATGGTTTTAGATTGTAATAATGTTAGAGATTGTGCAAAATAGATTTGACACTTTTTGTAGCACTTGGTATGAATAAATGGATGAGTAGGTTCTGTAAAATTGATCTAAATTTGTTAGGATTAATGTTAATTGCAATGATGATTTTCATGTCCATGTATGCTGTTTGTTGAGAAAATACACATGCCCTCTCACATATCCGTGTACATGTGTGCCCCTATGCATCTTTATGGATCACTGTATTGTTATTAGTATACATATTTATATTTGTGTCTAATGTTATACATAGAGAGAGTGATACTTATATTTGTAAATGCAAATATATAGGACTTGTGTTCGTCCATGCAAGGGTAAACATATAGTGGCCTATTTTGATGAAATTGAAGCAAACCCTCACCTTTTAAAAAACTGGGGGCATTTACATACATACCACACAATCTGTATATATTTACATATCTAACACCCAAACTTTTGATATTTCATACATAACACTCAAATCATTCAAATTGTTTAAAAAATACCAACTATCACTAACTTTTTTAAAGCGAAGTACACCCTTCTACACCCTTCTACACCCTTCAAGCATATTTTTTTGATGTCAAAGTGTCATAAATGTTGATATGCCACCAACAAATTTTCATCATCCGGCACGAATCTTGGTACAATTTTTGAACAAGATACATTCAAACTTCGATTAAGAGTCATCCGGAGCTCCGATTTCAGCAAACTTATAGTCAAACTGATCGGCTCGATGAGACGGACCTAATGATATGAAAGTCAGTCCAATCCGAGTCAAATCAAGCCCAGATCAAATCATTAAACCAGTATTAGAGGATTTCCAGAGGCATTTTAAAGGTCAAACAAATGTCAAATTTAGCGAGTTTATAGTCGAATCGAGCGTCTCGAAAAGACGAATCCAACGAGCCCAAGATTGCTTAATTCCGACATCGTTAAGACACTCAAATGCCCATCAAACGTCATCTGATCAAGGGAAGCTCTCCGGACCGTTCGATCAAAATATTTCATATTCTTGCATTAATTGCACTCAAAATACTATAAATAGAGCATCACCCCTCACTTGTAGGGGAGGGGGCTTAAGAGAGAACTTGAGGCTTTGAGAAGGAGCTCAAGTCCAAGATCATCCTCGTCATCGTCGATCGCCGTCGACTACCACTGATCGGCGACAACCACCGCCGACCTCTGCCTCTACCCCCCGCCGCCCACCCCCGTTCATCATCAGCCACCGCTTGCCCTTGTCAACCACCGTCGAACACCGCTGATCGCCTCCAGTCACCGCTAACCTCCGTCGACCACCACCGTCCGTCATCAACAACCGCTGACCTTTGTCGACCACCGCCGACCGTCATCTATTGTCGTCGACTACCGTTGATCACTGCCGGCCTCCGTCAACCACCGCTTACTAGACGCGTTATAACGTGGAAAGCTAGTAACCATTTCCCGTCTGTGGGACAAAAGGGCATCTGTAATTATCATCTTATAGTGAATTTTTAGAACTGGGCTAGATCCTGTGGTTTTTTCCTTTTTACGGGTTTTTCACGTAAAAACTTTTGGTGTGATCACAGCTCGATTCATTTTTATCTGAGTGTGTGCTGAATTCTCGTGCAACGCTAAGACGATAATCCATTACTCTACCGCCACGAATTTTCTAGCACGCATCAAATATAAATATTAAATTTTAGGTGTTTGATATGTAAATGCATAAGAATTGTATGGTTTGTATGTAAATTGCCCAAAAAAATCCTCTTTAATTGCCACACATAAATACATACTAAGCACTTGATGCACGGTAAAGTTGTTGATGGACTTTTTCTTTTGGTATCTTCTATTTTTAGTACTTTCTTCTTTTAGAATCAACTATTGTTGGTAATTTTTATTTCCATTTTCTAGCCTGAGGATTTTGTGACTTTCTTAATGTGATATCCTTCCCCTGCTATTTATCTTGTTACTGGGTCTTAAAAAAATGAACATGAATAATTATTTTTCCCCCTCTTCGAAACTCCAATCTAATTTTGTCAATTGTTTGCGGGTTCTGTAGCTTTACTCCTACCCCACTCGGGTTTGCCAAATGCCATTGTCTTCGTGACCAACCTTTTGTGAGACAGTCGTGATTTGAGCTAGTTGGGAAGACAACAACTAGATTACGACGTTCAAAGACCCCCTCATGATATGGTCACGATTAAAACTAGCTGGGAAGACAACATTTGGATTACTACGTTCAAAGACCAATTGTGATACAATCACGATTAGAGCTAACTGGGAAGACAATGACTAGATTGCGATGTTCTGAAAACTGATGTCACCTGATTCAACATTTGAGGGATTTGGATATGCTTCCACTAGGTTTTGATGTTGTAGCATCCTCACGATTCTTTCATCGAGGGTTCTAGACTTGCCTCGACAGAGGATTTCAGTTCCTTATTCTTGATGCTTTTCTTTGATATTGTAAGTTGTTGCTCAACACGAGGCTTTTTTTCGGCATGGACTTTCTTCCCCACCTTTGATTCTCTCTCTTTTGCCATTTTTTGTTTTTCAGCGGTGGGCTTCTTAGTGGGAAGCTTCTTCACTGGTTTCATCTTGGTTTTCGACGCCATTGGAATTTATAATTTGAGGGAAAAAAGACTTGTTCTTTCTGTTCCTCTAGTTTTCACGGAGAAAGCTTCTATTCCCGAGTGTTGTGAATCAGAGAATAAAACTGGATCCGAAGTAGGCCCATCAAACACTCAAATCTGTTTCAACCCTGTCGGACTCTTCTTCATTGGAGTCATCTCTGCTAACTTCTCCTCTACTTAGTTTTAAACTTGAAAATAACTCGCAACTGAAATTGACTCGAATTTTCATGTCATACAAGTTTGCGATGACTAGAGCCCAAATATATCTACCGTTTTTACTGGTCCTACTAATTCCAAAACCAATTCCCCTACTCATGTTGGTGTGAGCATTGCAAAAAATCATCACATATGAAGGAAACACGTTGGAAGTTTTACGGCAAGCCCATAAATTGGAAATCAAAATATAAACATGAAGCTCAGGTCTACCAAGCCAATGCTGATGAAACTCTAGAGTTTCTACCAACTTAGATGTGATACCTTTCACCAAGAAACAAGTATAGCACTTGAAAAAACTATTTCAATCTCAAAAATTGTCACTGCCTCTCTCTTGCTCTTTAGTAAGGGTAACGCTCTAGCCACTGCATTATTATATGCCAACCTTAATTTTTTTTTGTCATTTTTGGATAATTGATTCTGGCGCAATTGATTATATGATTGATTGTTCAAAATTATTCTCATCTTATAGATCTTGTGCTTGCAATGAAAAGGGTCAAAATTGTCGATATTTTCCTTTTGGTAATTATCGGGATAGGAACTGTCAAACTCACATTATTGTTAACTCTTCGTGATATGCTTTCTGTTCCCAATTTGTCTTGTAATCTATTGTCGAGTAGCAAAATTATTTTTGATTATCAGTGTTAAGTTAATTTTTACACTTTTTATTGTGAGCTTCATGAATTGACCACTTGGAGGATGATTGACAGTGCTAAAGAAAAGAGTGAACTCTAATATTTTGATGGACTTGATGTGAATAAATAATGTCAAAGTAGTTTACATTCTGATTTGTTTCCAAAGATAATGATATATGTTATGACTTTATAGGTTTAAGTTATTCCTAGTTTCTATTTTCACCAAAGGACTTTTAGATCTAGTTTGGAGTTCCGTGTAAGCAAGTGGGCATGATGATATCAATGCTCTAACTTGAGAGAGGTGCCGGAATTTTCCTTTTGGTATCTTCTATTTTTAGTTGTTTCTACTTTTAGAATTAGTCATTGTTGATAATTTTTATTTCTTTGTTCTAGTGTGAGGATTTTGTTGCTTTTCTAATGTGGTGGTTTTCCTTTGTTATTTATATTTTAATTGAGCTTTAGGAAATTAAAGAGGAATAATAATTTTTCCCCTCCCAAAATAGACAGTTGTTAACATAAAAGTGTTTTGAAGTTTTAGAATATATTGTCTTGTGTCTTGGGAGTCTCGTTCATGTTATTTGTGTTGTACCAAACATAAAAAATACATATTCTCCTTTGTAAGTTTATAAAAAATCTTGAACGAGCAGAGACTTAATATCAATTATCAATTATCATGCATGACCACGAATTTGTGCAGTTTTGAAGAGCTAACAATCAAGTGATTGAATAAATAAGGGACCTTGCCGTCACTTGTTTTCTTTTTATTTTTTAATTTTTCTTTTGTTTTTAGAAAGTATTTGATTGGTATAATTTTTCAAGTTTTTTTTAGTTTATTTAAAAAAAATCAACTTATGTTTAAAAACATGTAAAAAATATTTTGTGTTTTTAAAAATAACTAGCTCAATCAAATTTATTTTAATTCAAATCCAAACACAAACAAAATAAAAGAAAAATAAAAATAAAGCACAAAATAAAATTCATCCCAAATGGCCCTTAGGTTATATTGATATCTGAAAGATTGTTGATGTGGTATCTCAATTTTTATCATTTCCTCTTATTCGGATGAAAATTGCCATATGTAGCACGATAGAACGAGCAACAATAGACGTTCAAGAAGGCACGAAGTTCCAGTCTCTGAAGCCATTGATGGTGGTATGAGTAAAGCTGATATAGCGGAAGCTCAAAAGCTAGAAAAGCTGCTAAGTTATCAGGACAAAGTTATGGAACAAACTAAGGATAAAAAGAATGCGTTGGAAGCTTATGTATATGATGTTCGCAATAAGGTAATCCCAATGCACTTCTCATTTGTTTTTTTATCCAGGAAGATTTATATACATGACTTAATTCCTATGAGTTTACATATGGCACCTGAACTTCAAATTTTACATATATGTCACCTTATCTATGTATGAAAATATGTATTTCACTTTTAAATTAAAATACCGATATTTTTGATGTGATAATGAAAAATTTGGGCGGTATAAATGTGAAAAAAGTGAAGTTTAGGTATTACTTTTGTAAATAAATAAGAATTGGGCGGTATGTTTGTAAATGCCTTTTTTCTGTAATAGGAATTTATTGATTAATTCTTTTATGAAAAAAAAAAAGCTTTTTGAGACTTATAGAAGATTTACAACTGATAAAGAGAAGGAAGACATCTCGGGTATTCTACAGCAAACTGAAGAGTGGCTTTATGAGGATGGTGTCGATGAAACTGAAAAGGTCTACACGGCCAAGCTTGATGAATTAACAAAGGTAATAGAGACGTTGATATATATATATATATATATATATCTGTGTGTGTGTGTGATGATTAATGTTTCAACTATCTTTTTTAATAAATCAAGTTAACATACATTTAAGTCGTTTAAAATATTATATAGACGTTATGCATTTCACTCTTTTGTTGTTATGTATTTATCATGACTTACATGTTTATAAACATTCATTTAGTTTATTTTAATTTATTCATCTAGCAAAAATATCAACAAGAATAAATTCAACTCAAGTAACTTCGATGAGGCTAACTATGATATAATGATATTTGGTTAGAGGAAACAGTCAAAATAGTCTTTTGACTGTTTAAATGTAGTAGTTTTAGTCCCATGGTCTATAACAATGTCAAATCAGTCCCCAAATTATTTAAATTGGGGCTGAAATAGTCCTCCGCGGGAATTATTTCAACCTACATTAAAAGGGCTTGAGATTAAATTGATATTTTTATATACTATAAAACTAAAATTTCCCCCTACAAAAAATTTAAGGACTATTCTGATACTTCTCTCTATTTGTTTATGATTCCAATTCCACTACGTTTTTTTTTTTTTTGGCGGTTTCATACGGCAAGCTTTGAATGGTTATATATTCTTTCGTGCAGTTGGTTGATCCTATTGAGAACAGATACAAAGATGAGGAAGCTAGAGCTCAAGCGGCCAGAGGTCTTTTGAATCGCATTGCTGAGCACAGAATGGCCGTAAAATCACTTGTTGGATGTGAACGCGACGAGGCAAGTTGTGTGTTTCAATGCATATTTGGCAGTGAAATAATGGTATATTTTATGTTCGCAACCCATTTTTGGCATCTCATTTCAGATCATAAATGAATGTAATAAAGCCGAGCAATGGCTTAGGGAGAAATCTCAGCTACAAGATGAACTGCCCGAGAATGTTGATCCTATCCTATGGTCCCATGAAATTAGTAGAGCAACAGAAGCCTTGGACAAGTAAGATTTCTATTTTCTTATTTCTTTTTATCTTCCGTGCTATCTTTCATTTTGAATATATATATATATTTTTTCAATTTGATTTTATTTTGACTTGTTTTCCTAGTATACATAGCCTAATTTTTGACAACTCAAGATCTTTCACTTTGAAATTCATGATGAAAAACTGTATTATTGCATGATGCAATAATTATTTGGGGCATTTACAGATGCATGTACATATTACTTTACTTTTTTACATTGATACCGCCCAAATATTTCTCATCACATAAAAAATGTCACCTTTTTAATTTAAAAAAAATGAAATACACATTTTCATGCACAAAAAAGGTGACATATATGTAAAAATTTAAGTTTAGGTGTTGGATATGTAAATACATAAGAACTGAGCGGGGTATGTTTGTCAATCTTCCAATTCAAGAAACAAAACTATTGGGAAAAAAACTAGTTTCCTTTATGTCAAAAAGTTTCATTCTTGCCACTATTAATTTTCTATATCAAGTTCATGTTGAAGATCATAATCATGGATCTATAACCTAAGAAGAATTTGGTGATCACATTTGATCATTTTTTTTTTTAAGGCTGTTGATGAAGAAATGGATAGCCTGTAATGCCCCTCACTAACGTTACTACTTTAACATGTTTTATTTTAAATCATTTTCAAGGAAATTGTTCTACATATTTTTTATAATTGCTAGCCAATTTTCATTTAATTACACTATTCCATCATAGAAATGTCTTAACTGTAGATATGTAAGTGGATCTAGATTTTTTATTTTTAGGGAAGGGTTACACATATACCCTCTCAATCTTATGTATTTACATATCAAACACAAAACTCCAATTTTTACACACACACACACACAGATATATATATATATATATATATATATATATATATATATGCCACATCACCCGTGCATGAAGGGGTGTATTTCACTTTTTAAAAATTGAAGAAGTGTTATTTTTTTACGTGATAAGAAAATTATGGGCGGTGTAAATTTAGAAAGCAAAGTTTATATGTGGATATGTAAGCACATGTTAATTGGGTGGTATTTATGTAAATGCCCCTTTCTATATAAAAAATAATTAGGGGCATCTACATACATACCACCAAATTCTTATGCAATTACATATCTAAACTCCTAGACTTAAATTTTTACATTTATATCACCCCAATCTTCCATATCACATCAATAATGCCTTTTTAACTTTCATGCATGTAAAAATTGTAGGTGTTAATATGTAAATACACAGGAAAAGAGTGGCATGTATGTAAATCTTCCTTTTATTCTGTACTCATTTCTCTGATATGTATTTCTATAATATCTGATCAGAAACTGCAGAGATATCCTGCGAAGATCTAAAGATTCTCCATGTAGACCGGAGGATGAGAGGGCCTCTGACCACTCAGGTTGACCTGACAAGCATGCAGGTACAGCTTTAAACACTGTTATAGAGATACATGCACGTTAAGAGCATCTAATGATTTATCAGAGGACGCATAATACTAAAAATTTGCATTTTGGTAAAATTTATTTCCATGCATTCTTTTTTTGAGTTATCAAATTCGCGTATTTACACGAGCCATGTTCAAATTGCTGGGAACATAAGCAAAAAATATGTGCTGGAGTTTTATCTTGAATTTTGTTGTTTGGTTGGTAGTTTTAAAAATAAATGTAGAATGGTGTTAGTTTAGTAAATATTGAATACTAGATAGCTGGCATGCTCGTAAAATAAAATAAAAAATTTCAAAATATTAGATTTGAGCTCTCAATACTTAAAAAATAAGGTAATGGGGATACAAAAATCTTGCCATAGTTGTCAACTCTTTTCAACTGCATACAATCTCAACACAATGTATACAACAAAAGAATCTCAAAAGTTAAATTTGAGCGTAAGCTTTTATCTTTAGTGGGGCTGTCAAATTGGCTCGTTTGCGAACAGGTCGTGAAGAAGCTAATGTTCGGCTTGTTCGCTGAGTTAACGAGCCAAACATGAACAAAGACTTATTCATTCATGTTTGGCTCGTTTTGTTCGCTCGTGTTTGGCTTGTTAAGAAGCTCGTGTTCGGCTTGTTCGTTAAGTTAATGAGTCAAACACGAACAAGACGTATTCATTCATGTTTGGCTCGTTTAGGCTCGAAATACTTTTCATCAATTGTATATATATGTATTTATTGATGAATAGTATTCTTAAGAAAATTGACTATAATATTATAAAGAATTATAATCAATTAAAAGTATTAAATAATAAAATAGAATAAAAATGATTAAATTAAATTCAAATGACGTTTTAATATAAATAATAATAATTTTTAAATTGTCTCAGCCCTTAACATATTGTGACTATATGATTAAGATTCGTGAACAGCTTGTGTGTTTGGCTTGGTGAGCAAACAAGTTGAACGTTAATGCACTTTTTGAGCTCTAAATATAAACAAGCCGAACACGAGCTGAGCCCGAACTCAATCTTGTTTGACTCATTTACACCCCTAATCCTAAGTAACATGTAATCTTAAAATTCTTCTCATCAATTAGACCATTAATTTTCAACCCATCCTTTTTATAGACCACTTATAATAAAATCTACAAAGCACCCAAAAAAAAGAGGAAAAAACAGTAACGAAACCAATATTTGTGTCAAAATTATGCTTTGAGTGCAAATGACTTGTAGAAATAGGATTTATACAAGTCAAAGAAACTGAGAAGCAGAGGGTTGTTCAACAAATTATGCAAAATAAGATACATTATTGGCTTAATTACAATGAAGTCATCATCAAGCCCTACAACAATTCTGCTCAGCCAACTCGCCTCCCTCACCAAATTTGAATTTTTATAAATTTCGAAATAATCGCAATAATTAGCAACGAGATGTTCATCTTATATGCCCAAAAAAACAGCATTTGATTCTTCATTGAATTTTGAAAAATAAAATAAAATAAAATTGACATTACACATTTTTGAATGCTATACAATTTATGCTCCACAAAAATCCCTACATATTTGCAATCCATATATGCATCAAACATGAAGTCAACATAACTCTCTACAATATAGTGTTCATTATCATGAAATTACATGAAAAACAAAGCATAGGAAAAACTACATCAAATGATAATTAGTTCATTATGAACATCCATTTGAAAAAGATGATTTAAGAAGACGATTAGCGCTTAGGTTTCTTATTCTTTTTGGCTCCTGCTTTCCTTCTAGCTTTCCGAAACCCACCAGTCTCCTGCAGAGAGCAATTTCTGTCAGAAGATCATAATAATCAAAGGTTATTTATTTACTTACTAGTGCTTGGGTGTGTGGTTTGAGTTGCGTACAACCTCGAAAGATGTTTGCTATAATCCATGACACCTAATTCAACTACTCCAAGTCTTACTAAACTAAACTCTAATCTTTCTAATCAATTGGAGAAAACAAAAATCCCCCTCAACAAAAAAAATGCTTTGTTTATCAGGGATCTTAAAGATGAAGTGACACCAAATATATAGTTATCCAAACGAGTAACGACTTTTTTTTTGGCCAGTGTTAACCAAGGTCAAGTCAAGAGATCCTAAGGGTCAATTTGATCACCAACCACCTAGAGACATTATATAGAAGGTTCAATTTCAGCAATTTAAGCCATTTTTTTCTAGGAAGAAGGCTCTATTGAGCCGTATTTTCTTTCAAACGTGCTTACTGACTTGAGCACAAGAATATTTTCTACAGAACACTTTGCAGATTGAATAAAAAAATAAATGATCGTTATGAATGACATCGAATAAAGGGCTCTACTAGCTTTAGATTGTATCCAACATGCAATAAATATAGTTAAAAACAAAATTGCACCATACGAAAGTAGGCAGAATACAAGTTCTATAGCAAGAAAGAGTAGCAATTTGACCTATCATGCCTAAGATACCTAGTGGTTAGCAATTAAATGCCTAATGGATAAACAACATTCGATGTGCATGTAAGAAGATATTTTCAAAACACTCTCAGGATTTTGTAATCAATCTTTGACCCAATAATATATGAGTGAAGAAACTACCTTATAGCAATCTCTAACTTATTAATGAAATTCCAGATGGTTGCAAGGACAATTAAAGAAATTGGCCAAAATGATTCCTCAACTACTTATGACTTATGCCAAAAATCCGACTTAATTCCCATATTCTTTAAATGAGGACCAAACAATTCATATCATCTAAACTAACTAAAAAATAAAGTTACTGATGTTAAAAGTCAGAATATTTAAAAAAGATAAATTTTTTTTGACATTTCCCCTCGTACAATAGTAGTCAATTGACATCATGAAGGTTGCAAAAATAGTTGATTTTCTAGTTTGTTGCAATGCAATTAAAACAACAAAAACTTTAAATTATTTATTATAAAAATCATATTGTTTTGCAATCTGCACGATCTTAATCCAGCTGGCTTATCTGAAATTAGCTGCTGTAAACGAGAAAATAAGATAAGTATTAATTAGATTTTACCTAAAAAAATCCAAAGGATAACATATTTTCCAATGATGCACTCATTTTAATAATACTAACTTTAAATTTTATTATTTTGGATGGTAGGATAATTTTGATCCCTATTTAAAGAATATGGGGACTGAATTGAACCTTTCATATAACCCCTCACAAATATTTTTTGGGCATCTAAAAAAATTAAGATGAACATAATTCAAAATTTCAAGTAAACACATCCAGCATGTTAATATCATGTATTATTTGACTGCAACTTCAAAACTCACCTTCTTGTATTTTGTATATGCAGTTCGACCAGTTGATTTTTCTCCATTTTGACTGACATACACCTGCCAAAGAAAACCAAAAAAAAAAAATCACTAATAACTACATATTAGCTGTAACATTCGCTATATACTTCATCTAAATTTTATCATAAACATCAATAATGAAAATACGACATACATAAGAGATGCGGGTCGTGACTGCATGTAAGAGTATATATGGTCACAACCAATATGAACACAACTCAATTTAGGAAAACAGATAATTAAAATGAGATAAAAAAACGAATTTTCTTCTTCTCCGCAAGCATAAGGTTTTTAATACCTTTCTTCCATCCTGGTCGGTAAACCAGTGACCTGATTGACGGACATCAGCACTGACTCTTCTTTTTCCAGCATCCTTAGGGACGGTAGCTTTGCTTCTAGGATCCACCCAACTCCCCGCAGCATCTGAGGCTTCTATAACATTGCGACGACTTTCCTTATTATGCTTTTTACTTGAACTTGATCTAGCTAACTTTTCAGGCACAATGGGGGCCTCCGCACCAGCAGATGTGGTGCTAAACTGACCCCTAGAAGTAGAAAGTAAGATATAAATCAAAAGATAAAGACGATAAGAAGAATATGAAAGAAAAAATGAAAATGATGCAATTATTACATATAATCAAGATTTTGAGCACCAAACTGCTGAGCTTCAGTATTATTCTTAATTCCTAAAGGAATAAAGTGTGGTAAACGCTCTCGGACTAATGTCTGGATCCTTGGATCGTTATGGTAGAAATATTGATATGCTGGAGGATGAGGACTCGACAAATCCCAATTTATATCCGCCTTTCCGCTGATTTTATTTGAAGGGTTCAAGACATCATTTCCATCAATGACATCTAACCCTCCAGAACTGCCAAAACCCGAAGATCTCATTTCTTCCTTGCGCTCATTTACATTTTGATCATTCACTGTTCTGAAATATTCATTACAAAACTCATCCAGAGCTGGAGTTTCTAATTTGCTGCTTTTCTTTGGACTAAAATCTTTCCAAAAACTTTCTTTTTGGCATTTGCTTGCTAAAGAACTTTTTTTCGGCTCCAAGGTTGAGCATTTTTCATGAAAATACTTCCCTCTTTTCAAAGATACGTCAGCCTTTTCATTATTTCTACATTTACCTTTACTGACAGAAGAATCATCTGAATCTGAGTCAATTAAATTGATCTTTCTAATAGGGCTAATGGTTAACCTTGGAAAAACATACTTGTCATTGCTCGTGTTTACTCCTGTCAAAGTGGAGATGCCACCAGAAGCAGGCGTGACTTTAGAATCTATCTTCTTACACTCTGAATTATCCCTTAGGAAACCACGATGCAGTAAGGAAAATTTTGTATTGCAACAGGTAACATTACTTTGAGTAGATGCATAATTATCTGCTAACAAAAAGAATGGGCAAATAATTAATAACGAATGCATCATTAAGTTCACGAAAATTACATATTAAAAAAGTATACTTTGTCTCTCATGCTAGATTGAAATTATGGTAGTGTATCAAAAAGAGAACATTCCCTAAAATAGAAATGAAATGCTACTAGAAGAAAATCATTGATTAAGGCTTTGGTAGATAATGCTATGTTTTGTTTGTTGTGATGGCTTGTATTGTAAAAACAGAAGTTATTTGTACTCACAAAGATGAGCAAGCCACTCAGTAACTTAATTGGTCATGGTTACAACACGATGGAGAATGTGCAATCAAATTAAGAGGTTTTTCATTGTGATTTTTCAACACAAATCAAAAGGGAAAAATTGACTCTTCATACTTGGCTAAATATGTCTGCCTTCTTATTTCTATGAAAACTATGCATGAAAGTTTATTTCAGTAAGAATACTTATTGTACTCTACAACCGTCGAAACTAGTTCACGCCAACCTCAAATTCGAACATTGTTTGAAGCTTGTTCAAACCCTACAATTCTCCATACACACAAAACTTCCTACACAAACACCTCTTCTCCTTCATAAGCCGCCAGACCCATTTCCAAAGGAGCTCCCACGCAAACACATCTTATTCTTTGAATGCCACCACCCCATCAATTGCTGACTGCCTTAGCAAGCTCCTGCACAAACAGCTCTTCTCCTTCATATGTCGTCAACCCTGTCAATTGTTGCCCAGAGCTCTCTCACAAAATCCTCTTCTCCTTCAAATGTTGTCAGTTCCATTAACTGTTGGCCCTAGCAAGCTTTGGCACAAACTTATATTTTCCTTCAAATGTTTTCAGTGCCGTCAATTGTTGCCCCTAGCAAGCTCCCGCATGAACTACTGCGTTAAAAGCCACCGATCCTCGTGATCCTTGTCTACATCAAGCTTTAGTGTGAACTCATCCTCACCTTCATATATCGCCATTCCCGTCAATTGTTGCCCCCATCAAGATTCCACATGAATTCCCATCATGAATCTTCCACAACTTACTGATGAATCACCATTTTCTAACAGTATTCAAATACACTTGAATTGTACACCAACAATATATCAGCATGAATCTCGATATAATCTAACGATTCAAGATCAAAGGAGATATGATGAGGATCCCTCTGACGAAAACCATAAAGCCTCACGAATTTGACAGACCGATAACCAACCAAGCCGACCAGAGACAAACTCAGTCGATCGAAAGGCCATCCAAGCTAACAGGAGACAGACATCCACATTGATCACTCTGAAGGAAATGACTGAACAATGGTCTAGCACCTCCAACGATTTAACAGTATCAATGCAAAGCACTCTCTAAAGCTCCCTCAAAGATCACCAAGGAACAATAATCAGAAAAACTGATCGGTCATCCTTCTCAAGAACCAACTGGCTTCCCATTCAAAATTTGACCAGTGCACAAACGAAATATGATCGAAATAAGCTCAATCGACCAACCCAAAGACCTGCTAAGCAAAAGGTTTAGGCATGCAAAAAGACCAAAATACCCTGTACAACCCCTATAAAGCAGGGGTAAAACATATAATTTTACCTTTTGGTGCATCTATCTTCTATAAATAAGAAAATCATAACATGTATTAAGGCACTTTTGGCTCTTCTCCCTTGACCCTTCTTTTGTATGAAGTCTCCATCCCATTCTCCTTCTAACCTCCATATTTGATATATAAAATGGGTCGCAAAAGCTTGGGAATACTCCATTTTGCTCCAGAGGGACCAATCACCCTACACTCATCTCTCTCTCTCTCTCTCTCTCTCTCTCTCTCCCCTTTCTGATTCCTACCGCTATACTCCTTGGGCATGTCTCACAAGTCAATTTTAGATTCAACATCCTAAAGAGTGTGGTGATGAAGCATGTTACCAACAAGAAAATAAGTGACGCTAATCAGGATGGCTTCACCATAAAGACACTCATAACAGAGAGCACACCAAGGAGTTCATGCAACAACAAATCCAAAAGCAGAAAAATCCTGTTTCCATCATTTTCCGAGAGGCTTTGGCTTGGAGACGAGAACCACATTTTTAAAAACGGATAGCCAACCCCCAACGATCGGATAACTCCCCTAAGGAAAGCCAACCAATAACACCACAAAAACGCTCGGAGAACTCCCCTAAGGGAAGCCAACCAATATCACCACAAAAAAGCTCGGACAACTCCGAGCATTTAAGACCCAACCCATTAATAAAAAGACGTTATCATTTCGAACCCTTTATATTTCTTTTACTATGAAAAAACAATGAATCATTTTAATATTTTCCTAGGTCCAATTGGCACTTGAAGTACTCGAACCCAAAATGCTCCCACATCGTGAAACTTGGTTTCCAAACTTGAATCAGATAACGTTTTGAAGGTGGTTCTCTGTCAATTAGTGACAAGCTCCGCAAAGGGTATCGAGTAAATCACCCCAAAAGCAAGTTTCATGGTTACCCTTGGAAAAGAACGACATGATTCGATTAGTAAGCCTAGCACAAGGGATAATCCAGATGATGAAAATCAGACAAAGCAACTGATACCTAGAAAAGAGTAAGACACGATTTGGTTGCCAGTACCTTTAAATAAATCGACGATGATCCAAAAGACATCCGATCAGTAGAAAACAATAATGACGACTGACAACGACGAGATAAATGTTTGATCAACGTCCTAACGCTAAAAATCCGACCCTCAACACCAAGCATAAAAAAGCTCATGTTTATAAACTTGACACGGATAAAACTCTGGAGGTGGATTCATGTCTAGTAGTGATAATCACGACGAAGGATACAACATAAATTGCTCCAGTAGCGAGTCCCGATGGTTAACCTCATGAAGACAAGGATCAAATCCTCTTAAAACCTAGCGAAAGGTGTGGCCCGACCGAGACGATGACTCGACCGAGCAAATGAGACACAGGAGGTACAAAACTTGTGTCGGGCAGCAACATATCAAAAAATGACCAATGATCTTTTCGAAGTTTTGAGTCATCAACCATTATCAACACAAACTATCATGAGGAAATAGCGAGGTAAAGGTAAAATAATGAAAGAAGCAAAGGTAAACAAAATACGACTGAATGCTTCATTCATTTCAAAATATAAAAATGTACAAATTTTCTCTGCAAAAAAGTTCATTTACAACAAATATATATCTTTCCAAAGTATTCTGTTAGCAAAATTTTCCAAAGTCACAAGAGGCCATCCAGAGTTCAGAGTAAAAGATTCTTGGGCACCTCCAACATCCGAGTCCTCTCTTGTAGATCTCTCAAAACTAGTGTAAGTGCAACAAATTCCTCTAAGTCAGCAAATTTAGGGTCCAAAAGATTTGATCTAACAAATCAGTCGATCGTCATGACGATATTGATCCGAAGCAGCTCATTCAAGATTTTCACGTGTCGCGGATGAAAAGGGAGCATCTCAAAGAAATATACTTCGATTTTCATAATCATCATTTTCTTCTTTAGCATCAGATTTTTTTGTTGGATGACCAATAGAAGTTCCGATGGAGTAGAGATATCATCCTCCGCTGCCCCAGCTTCCGCTTGGCCACCATTGTTAGCTTCTCCGCCTCCTTCGCAAAAATAGTCGGAGTATTGACCCTCTCTACGGTGGCAGCCCATTTCGATTCCACTAGGTCAAGGGCCATCGATTAAAGGTGGGAAGCCTCTCACGCTTTGATGTGGCAGCAATCTATCTTCTGATAGAGCTTTGGATGCTCGAGTGCCTTAAGAGACTTAGCAAAGGCCCGAGATTAGATCACTTCCAACAATGTGGATAGATAATACTCTGCTAAAGAACTAGTAAAAAAATCCACTTCCCGGTCGATCACAACGTATCGCCCATCAAAGTCGGTTTACTCGAGAAGGGACCCATTAAACCGAAGAACCCTTTCTCTTCTTCTAAAAAGATAGAGGCAATAGAAGAATCAATCTAGAAGCAGGCTCCTTTCCTACCTGGTGGCGCATTTCTTCCTCCTGGAATTATGTTTTTTATTAAGTCCCTAACTAGGTCCAAGTGGTGGAAGAGGGCTGACTAGCTTCGCTCCGAGCGGACACACCTATGAAAGTCGCGATATCAGGATGAGGGGAAGCCGACCTCATCTTCATTTCCGTTGAAGCATCCCCTTCAGCTTCGAAATCCTCTGAGAGACCAGAAAACTATTTGGGTTCTAGCGACCCATGCCGGAAGGAGCTCCACATCAGAGGTGGTAAAAAATTCCACTATCATTCGGTCGAACTTCTTCGGAACAATGACCCTATTAACAATCGCCGAGATAGTACACTGGGAAACCGACAGAAGCTCGTCGAACCCATCACCCTCAATGCAGGAATAGTCTGTCCCCTTCTTTCTCTTAAAAGGCGCCTATAGTCGGGACGTTCTTGATCCCCCAGCTTGAAGAAAATGAGGCAATGAGGAACTTCAAACTCCAATCCTTCATTTCGTCCTACCCGAGAGCTAGAACCGATCAAGTGTACCAAACTGAACATACCCATTGGTCTCTACCTAGAAGAACATCTGACTGAACAAGTCAGTCGACCACGGAATCCCTTTGCGTTGACAAAAGAGTACATAAGTCATGATTGTAGAGTTCGGCTAAATCTCCGTTGAAATAATGGTGTATCAATTGAAAATCGCCTGAAACTCCTGATAGAAAGGCAGGCACATACCATACCCCAAATAGTCCCCATAAATCACCAAGTCGTCTCCGAACCCATTAGTATCCCTTTCGTCCCGGCGAGCAGCCAGAAACTTTATGATCGGGTCCAAAATGAAAGCCTCCTCCACACAAAGGCCACCTCCGAAGGAGGCAGAATTGACCACTTGGTCTCCACAACCAATCTGAAGGATTATGAAGTGCATTTTGGAGCCATCAAAAAAAGAGAGAAAAACCTCAACAAAGAAAGAAGTAACCAAATGACAGAAAGGTAGAGGAAAAGACAAAGCAAGCGCAAAAGAGCGCATTCAGTCCTAA